CCACACAGCTAGAAATGTCATCAAGCAGACCCCTGGGATCCCGTTCCAGACACGGATGTCTCCATCTCACTGATAAATACTACACAGACTAAACAAAAAAAGTCTGCAGCGGGTCTTTCCAGTCCTCTCCCTCTGTCTCTACCATTACTCCTAGCCTTGAGCTACATGTGTAATCCACACTTCCCCGCCGTTCCATCTGGGGAAAGGATTTTTCCTCTGCTCTGTGGAAACAACTCGGAAGGTTACAGGCCTTGAGACTCGTGGCCCGGCGTTAACGGTGATCCATTCAGACACAACCAATTTCCACTAGCGGTGCATGCTGTTAATTCAGGAACAGCTGAACCCTGAATCACAGGTATCAACCATGCTGCCTCACTACATCTCAATAAAGGGGTTGCATTTCACCTCAGCCTGCCGCTCAGATTAAGAACGGATCTGTGTTGAATCAACATTTCCAGCCTAGTCCAAGAAATAGCAGGACACTAAACCACAATGTGGAATGGAATTGCTGCTGAGAACAGCGAAATTCAGAGTAAAGTGTGCCTTCCATTCCAGGAAGAGACAGCGTTTTGGACTCTGTAGAGCCTCGGTCATTTCCAGAGACGTGAGATGGAAGAGATGCACAAGACAACGATGGTGTTGAGAGCCGTTGTGAAGTGGATAGAGTGTTTTACCACGAGGAAAGTTCAAAAGCTGCTTTAACCACTACAATGATTTCATTATAGTGCAAAAACACATATAGTTCACCAAAAAATTAAAACTCTATCATTGTTTCACCCTTATGTTGTTACAAACCTGTGTGATGTCCTCCAAAATATCTTCTTTTGTGTTCCACAGAAGAAAGTAAGTCATAAAAAATCACTCTAGAACCCTATTAGACTGGAACCCCATGTGGCATAATGTTAATGACATTATGAACGTGGAACCAAAAGACTCACCTGTCTGCCATCCTGCCCCACATTAGTCTGTCCCCTCACCACTGTCCTGATGTTGTCATCCAAGCGTCTGATTAAAAGAATTATTTACAATACCAATTTAATAAGATGAAAACCTAAAGAACCTCCATATATAAATGCAGACCATATCAGGGTCTAAATATTAAAAACTCACCTGATTTTAAGTCGAATGTTATTCACCACTTCATCTATATTCGCCAAAGACTTTTTTTAAAAAAAGAAAAAAGATTTCATATCAAGATTTGGAGGGAAAAACATCTCTACTGAAATATATCAGCTATCCTTAAATTTTATCTCTTTTAATAATCAACATCTTATTAGTCACTTTTTCTTGCTCGGAGAGAGCAGTGCTCTCTAGTGGACAAAAATATAGACATTCAATAGAGGAGCATTTCTGCAGTAATGTAAAGGAAAGCATAAGTATTAGCAGCATTATTGGTCACTTGCATCAATATGGGTGACCGTAACACAGGTGTTAAATTAGATTTGTTATTTATTTGCATTATAGAAACTATTAGTATGTAACAGTATAATGCTGCTCAGAACTAGAGCTTAAATACACATAAAAAGGTTTCGAATTAAGGTACACATTCATCACGCTGACCATTGCTCAAGTATTCTAATTCAGACTCACCTGTTCTGTTGGAAACAAGGTATTAATGTATTCAACAGCATTGAAGTCGGCTCGATCCAAAGGGTCCTGGCTGGGGAAAACCTACAAAAATGAGCAGATAACATATGATATGGCCAGGACCAGAAAAGCAGGCTCTGCTGAATGAGAATCAGGTGTCCACAAGTTTTCTAAAGATGTTCTGAAGTGACCATCAAGCTTTTCTACACTGCAATCTGTTCAGGTGGCACCTTAACAAATAGATCAAGAGATCCAGCTGTATTACTGATCTTACGCCCGACTCATTGAAGGTAGCAGAAGAATGATCATGGCTTGACAAACCATTAT